TAAAACCTAAACCCTGCAAACCCTGAACCCGGAAGCCCATAACCCCTAAACCCCTAAACCCAAAAACCGTAAACGTAGATACAAAGGCCTGAGCATGGTTTCCCAAGGCCCATTCTTTCACGGCAGCATCGAAGGCTTCGGGCTCTCCCCCCTGTGTTTGGTGGCTGTATATAAGGTTTAGGGATTATCTCGAGATTTAATTGGGATCTAGGATTTAAGGCTTGGGATTTACGGCTTGAGATTAGGAATATTTCGGTCGAATAATGGCAAATCACATGGAAAAAAGGTGGAAAGTGGAAAGATGTAATATAATGGTTTGGGCTAAATAGGTATATTGCGAAACACAGATGTTCTCTATGATGCTAGTTCTAAAGGAACTACAGGATATTATCTGGTCATCACAGGCTTTTCCCCGCCTAGAGCATGCGTAGACGTAGGGGCTATGGGTCCCTTCTCGTGGTGCAAGTTTGGTCTGTGCACCGTGCAGGGCTGATGTTCAAGGATACAGGTTGTGGCATGGGCGATGGGCGTAGGATTCAGGCTCACGGGGGAACAAATTGAAGGGTGCAGGTCATAAAGGCTTCTTGCTTTGTAGACGTGCCAGAACAAGCTATAGTTCTCATTCGGTTGGGAATGGTGCTTGTGGCCAACTCTGTAAATGCTGAAGTGCTTGAGCCATGTGACGGATGTCGGACATGAAAACTCATGCGCTCTTGCAGCAACTCGGGCCAAAACAACGCGACATGACCCGAAAATGACATTGCAAAGCCACAGCTCCATACTTGATCCCGAATAAGGGCGATATTGCTCCCAAAGGGTGCGTGGATACAGCCTAGCAGGTCCCAAAAACAGCATTTCTAGGGAGGACTCTAGAGTTTGGGATTCTAAGGGGCACCCACTATGAACAAAAATCATACAAATATATGTAATGAAATTACAGCAATAACACCTGGGCAACGTAAATAAAATTTATTGTAACCTTATTACGATAATGCACTCTGCGTTTGTGCACCAAAGCTATACAGAGTTGATGGATCTTGTCCGAAGCGTGTGTCATGATGCCGTTTCATTCTATGACGCTTCTCTTTGTAACTGCTGAACGAGCAGAAGAAGGAATGCTGTCAACAAGGTCCCAAAGATGGAGTCTCCGTGTTGGGAAATGAAAACTGCAACCTCTTTCAACCGCAGTCTTCAAACAAGGGGGGTCAGGCCTCAAGATTCACAGGATTTTTGGTTCAAGGTCTGAGGTGGTGTTGACGGAGCTGTACACGAAAGGTCAAGGTTTCATTGTTACACGGATCTCAACTTGCCACAACACTTAGGATATTAACGTTTGCCCGAATAAGGACAACATACCAACGCATTTCTGTAGACCTTAACACCCAAAATTTGATCTTGTGTCAAATGTCGACAAGATCAGATAGTTGCTTTCGTAAGGTTGTAGTATATGTGCGGGACTCGCAGTCCAAAGAAGAAAACAAACAACATGACTTATCTTGTGAAATCCATCGTTCTAGCTCCCCGAGGAATGCTGCTGCTGGCTGCAAAAAAAATGATCGGGCTACTCTTCTGCCTTCTTGCGCAAATAGCTGCGGCTGCTCATAATGAGGCACCTGAAAAATCCTGATAAGGCTCCGAAAGATTCCCCTGCTTTCATGTTGCCTGCCTGCTAGCCCTTGATGCCAGAACACTTCTTTAGCAGGAATACGTGCAATCAGGCGGCAAATTACTGCATGCCTTTTTGCTATGGACGCTCATGGCACAAAGGACGTGCAAGCGGCATTGCAAGCCATCGGACGCAAAACCTCAACACGGCGCTGCTGCAACAAATTCGAAATAGCTTTTTGTCGCTCTGCAGTTCCACCGATATGCTCGTAAACTTCTTCATGCGGCAGTATCACGGACGAGTATCACTCGTCTCAGGATAACTCAACCGCTGCCTAACAACCATTACTAGGCTCCGTATTGAAATGAAAAGCATGCCGGCTTTATATTGGGAGCGCCCAAGTATCTCCGAGACTCTTTCACATGTCTAGAATACTAAGCCCAGCATCAACTATCAAGCTGCCGCGACTCCTGGCCAACTATTCCAGCTTGCGGCCCTTCGCAACTGCGTGCATCGCCTTGATGAGCACATCCTCAACGGTGTCTACTTCCTCCTTCGCCAAGATCTCCCTCGCCTACGAGGTTTGTAAAACCCTCAACACAGAAAAGGGCCTTTGATGTTTCCAAACCTATCCATTGATACGACACTGGAGATTCCATCGGACTTCCACACGAAACGTCTTAGCTGCATAGCTCCTTAGTGTCTGACACCCTGTAGAACTTTGCATAAGTTGCTCAAATACAGTTCATACCGCATGAAGCTGACTTATCGCCCCATGATAGACATGTAGCTAGCTCCCTTACAATGTCCCTGACATAGGTCAAGCGCTCAAAACTTCTCGCATAACTTCTGAGAACCACCACCTGAAAAGTGGGGAACCAAACCGTAAACCCTAAACCCATTCAAACCCTATAGCCTTTTTGATGGGACCCAAAGGCTAACCTTAAACCCACACTCAAACACACTCAAACCCTATGGAGCCCGAGTGCCTCGCCCAAAATTCGCTGGGCCGCACGCCGCTGCCCGCGGAGTAGGTTGCAGCTTTCCTTACTTGGAAGCTGAAGAACCCGCCCGCATCCTGAGCCCTCAAACCTAAATCGTGCACCCCGAACCCACGAAAGTGTGTAGCGTCTCTCGCCACCCCTGAGACCTCAAAAACATCCCTGTAACTGTATCCCTTGTCCCACATGCTGGAGTCAAGTTTCTGGGAGCACCAGCCGGAAGCGGTACTCACTGGGAATGAAATCCAAAGTCTCTTCGCGTCCTTCCTCGGCTCTTTTAAGGTCTCTGTCTTGAGGTTTCAGCATTTTGGGTTTACCATTTCAAGTTCGTTTCAAGATAGGATGCTTCGGCCTCTGGAGCATGCGGATATGCTGTCAAGGTACAGATTACGTCCACATATGCAAGGCAAAGTTTACGGTATGCGTAGTGTCTGAAAACGCGGACCCCATCAAGTGCCCTTTTTGTGCGGGCGCTTGCTGTTCGATGTGTCTTGAAAGGACTCCGATTCTCACCCAAAAACGCTCAGTTCCACAAATGCACCTTACGAAGCGTTTTCCGTGTCATCTTGAACCCTGAACCTACATGTTACCCCGACCAAACACACATAATACCTTGCTCACAGCTTAGAAAGCTTGCAAGACCCTATGGCGTCCATCAAACCTGATGGCAAGCCTTTACAAAAGCATTTCTGAGTTGTCCAGCCACCAGTAACACGACCCTGCCAGCCGCAGCAGCCTGATGCAGAGCCTGCTGGGCAAAGGCCACCACCTGACGAGGTGAGATAGATGGTTAGAGGTTTAGGGAATTGGGGTTCGAAGGCCCGAAGGCTTAAGAATGCAAGGTTTTATATTAGAGGACGAGACTCCTGGGGCTTAGCAAGCCCACGGGAGCCGGCTTGAAAGATCAAGCAGGTCTTCATGGGCAAGGGTGCTCGGTGTTGCAAGCGGTGTGGGCACATTTGGATGCGTGTGGAAGGTAACGTTGTGGATTAGTCCTTCCCTCAGATGTTGAACACACTCGACCTCCCAACACGACATGAATGACAATAATCGCAAAAAAATGCGTGCTTCTTTCCACAACATTTACTACGACCTGTGCGGAAAGGATGAAGAAGCTTCAGAAACCAGAGTAACAGGAGCCCTGCAGCCTCCCAGCTATCAGGAAGCCTACCAGAAAACCTACAAAAAATATCACTGGAAAAGTATGGTTGAGCAATCAGGGTTCATAGCTGACAAGCTTCCCCGTTCGAAGAGGTTGGTCACCGAGGGAACAAGTTGGGTCTCGATAAACTTGCGTCTGCAATCAAAATTGCCCATGTAGTATGTAGTAAAAAACGACGGCGGGCTCTACACAGATCTCTGCTCATTCTATGCAACAACCATGTACACCTGCTGACCCCTGCAAACCGCGAGCCATTTTGTGAACAACAGCAATTGCAGAAACAGAACACTTGTAGCTGCGACATACCAGTCAAACTTGGTGAGCAAAGGAGAAACCCATTACCAACTAGATGGGGATCACCCCATATCAAGAGATGCCTTTCACTTTGCGGAATCCAAGCTAAGAGCACCCAGCGGCGCAAAAGGATATCGCTACTAAAAGTCGCAAAACGCACGGCGATCGTGGTTTTCAGTCTTGAATGCATTGAAGACAAGAAACAGTTTTTGGGGATAGCAATCTTCGGGCTGTTAAAGAGACACCAGTCACACTCCTTCAAATCAAGAGCCTGAGGGATTGCAGGTGGTTTCCAATTCCAAAGACAGGATGGATCCAGGGACCGTTTTCTTGGGCTGCAAGAGCCAAATAACACTTGAAGTCAGGCATTCCTTCAGGCAGCAATCACCACTTTGCGAAAGCAGTGATGAACATAACGTGAAGGCCTACAATGTCTGCGAGAGAGCATACATACCCCTTGGCAAGATCTGATACTTGCAGCAGCCTGTCTGTGTCCAAAACGTGATTGGATACACAGCTCGTTTCATTTACAGGTGGGACAGCGCTCCTGCTACAGGCCTCCCCTGCCGCAGGCTCAGAAAGATTAATGAGAACACAAGCTTGTTAGCAGAGGTGGCAGTTGGTGGGGATCGCGCTTGAGGTTTCGGATAGCACAAGATGCAGATGCTTGCAAAAGCCTTGATTTCAACAAGGACACAGCTTTTGCAAAAGAAAAAGGAAGCATGTAAGGGCCATCACATCGGCGCCCATGCCATAAAACACACACACACACACCAAACACAAAGTGTATCAAACCCAAACTATGTAGGATTTTGTCTTATTTGCTACTCAGAAACCTATTAAGATACATATCTGCAAGCAATACAAGCCGTCTAACACATTGCCTGCTATCGGTGCAGGACCACCTGAGCCTGGGTCGACTGCGCCACCGTTGGCAGAAGCTGTGACACAGGTGGGTCCTTCCTGGAACTGGGTGATTTCAGTTTAGGGCTCCGGGTCTGGGATTTTGGGGATATAGGGGAAGAGGTGAGGATCTTGGGCCTAAGGCTTGACGCTTCCACGAGGCTCAGAGAAGAAGCTGCCACATCCAACAAAATGGAAACTGAAAAGATTCCAAGAACTGGGATTCACTCTTCGTTTGCCCGAAAACACAAGCTATACTAATTCCCCCAGAAGGACCGATACTGTTTGGAAGCCTGCACATCTGTCAGACCGTCCCACCCCCATCGTCAAGCCAAAACCTTGATCTCCACAACCCTACCTGGAGCGTCTGTGCGTAGTTGAACAACCCCTACTATGGGACAAAGTAAATAAACATGCTTGCACAGCAGCTTACATCTAGAAATGAACCTTAAAAAAAACTGTTGGCCAGCATGACCGGTATACACCTCTAGTAGTTTATCCTGCTTGCAGCCAAATTTCAGGATGGTATCCTTGATCTGGGAGACCCTCCTGTCAAAACCGAGGCCATTGATGCGGACATCAATGGTGTCCTGAGCTGGTCATGAGGCAGCTAGCTTTGCAGATAGGTTTTCGGCTAACAAATGGATGTCTTTCTGCCTGCATTTTACTTGCTCGTAGTAAGTATCTCCCAAGACAAGCTCCAGAAAATCGTGGACAGCTCACAGAAAGGAAGCCTTGACTACAATTCTTGAATGGTAAGCCAGTCTCCGAGCCTTCCTCCAGGACGACTTCCAGCATATCAACCTCACAGGAGCAAAAACAGGGCAGCTTTGGGAATACATCACAGTTGCGTGGGGCTCCTATCACTTCTATCGGGACATCATCGCACTCAACAGGGGATAGACCACCAAAGCCACAAGCTCAACTCCAAAACTTCATTTCTGAAGCCAAAGCCTGCGAATCCCCTACACCCGCCCAGCAACCCACGCTTTGAGGTTCGCTGGCGCCAAGCATGATGGGTCGAACTCTTGCTTCTGCTGTTCCTGGGACTTGGCATTTTGGGCTTGGGGGAAACCAAAGCCTGTAAAAGCCACAGAGCCCAGGGAGCCCCAGAGACCCCAGAATCCAAGTCCATGCTTGGCCAAGGGTCGCAGTGGGTGATTGCCAGCAAGGTCAGGGCCCTGAAGCAGTTGCCATTCGACCATGGGATGGCTTCGGGGATCTCCTCGCGAGTCACGTTTGGGTTTCAAGGTTTTGGCTCAGGGCTTAGGGTTCTCAGCTAGGTTCTCGGTTCTTGGTTTAGTGTGGCCTTTGGACCCGCATGTGCTACTGCTTCACACGTTCACACGTTGGCGCAGCCACCAGCCTTAGCAGTAACCAGGAATGTTGTGTGTGGGAGCCAGGACTGTTATGTGTGGGAGCTGTCAGTGTGATTGTCATTTGTTGGAGGAACCTTCTGGGAAACTAATCCTAACCGCCAGTGTGGTGATTGACCACGTTTTCATACAGTTCTTTTGGGAAAAGATTTCGTGCTGGATGCAGTCGCACGGAGATGTAGCCAGGCAATCACTTCCTCAAGGCCGAGGGGACGGCCTGAGAAGATATCATATGGTCTCGTACCTCTTCTCCTGTGCCATTGAAGGTCCAGGAATAACTGGAAACTTTGTTCCGATAGCTTTAGGTAGGTACCTATAGTACCAACCAAGTAAATTCAGTGAAAGGTTTATCCTCAAGGTGAACATGGCAACCTCTACGTGAGCACTGGTACAATTGCTGCCTGGAACCCACACACGAAAAGCCTCTGGTAGAACTCTAGATCTCCAAAATTTGCCAAGCTTGTTATGGGCCGCATGCCCGCAAATGGTTCTGTTGAAAAACCGAAAAAGATTTGCAATTGTTCAGCTTTCTGTCGTTGCCGTGCCATCCACAAACTGGGGAGGAGCAGCCGACGATTTGGGATGGGGAAGGTGCTCGGTCTTAGTCAAGGCAAGCATGAAACCGTACAACCATGTTTCTGCTGAAACCGTCGCCCAAAATTAAGCCAAATATCTACAGCAACTATCAACAACTCACTTCGCTTCACAGTTTGTACAATCCTTGTTAACACAACCTCAATGGCGAGCTCTGCTTATTAGTTGCTACTGCCTCTGGCATCTCTCCTATATTCATTGCCGGACTATATTCATTGCAGGAACATGGTTCTCGGTCTCAGGAGTTTGGCGTCGGGTTTGCAGCCAAAATTCCCGAGTTGTACGGGGCCGCACTTCAAAGCCATACACTCTTGCTGGCGTGCTTGGAGGCTATGACAGAACTCTGAGCCCTAAGCCAAAGAATCTATAAGCTATGAATCCGAAGCTGGACTCCTGTCCGGAGGCCACGTAATCGCTCCGTACAACATGGGACCCTGGCGTGGGGCTATATAAAGGATTAGATATATACAAATCATCTTGAGAAATGCATATATCTCTATCAACATACAGAAGTTCAAAACTGCGACTGAACGCCCCAAGCCCTCAAGAACCAATTGAAACTTTTAACCCGACCTTTGACACCCGGACGCAACCAATGGACTCCTGCTGCAGCTTCTTGAATGTGGTCTCCTTCCCAGTACCACTCTTGCCCACAAGGATTACCTGACGTCTTTGACTGTATGAGCTATGATGACGACAAATAGCTGGGTCTGAGCAGCGCTAACAAAATTGGCTACACCGCTAAGATAATCACGAAAAACAATAGACCCTAACAAATACATGATACTTCAAAAAAACAGCTATAATACCACAACACTCTGCGTCTCCCACGGTTCCCTGCATGGATATGTTAAGCTCAGCAAGTCGCAACACATCCCGTCTTCGCTGACGGTAACTTTGAAGCCATGTAGGCGGCGCGCTCAGTCCTGGGCTGCTTAATGCGAGAAGACCCAGTAAACACTGAATATCAGCAAAATCTTGACCACGGTGGTGTGAGATTACATGCACCACCGGACCCACGCTGTCAAGCACTATTTCTGAGCGGCGGAGCGGCGAAGCCTACTGCTTACGATTCTACGTTGGAATGTATCCTTCTGCTTGCAAGCACCAGCTTCGCATCCAGTTTGATGACGTCTATATTGTCATAGACCGGTTTCGTTGCCAAAGCAGTCAAGGCGCCCTGTCTGGATATCCCTCAATGCCAGATGGGGGGTTCTACGGATTTTTGGCACAAAAACTACGAAACTTGTCGTACCAACAATGTTTCATCTCAAATTTTACGCTCGCGTGCCTGGTCAATCCCTGTCTGGATGCCGGCTTTCAACATTTCGGCATCCTCATCATCGCGCTGTATTAGCAAATTCTCCTCGAATACCGCAAGCTTGCCAAAGACCGCTTGATCGCTCAGAAGGTCGATGATGTCGTCCGTGACTCTGAAATCTGTAGATGCAGCCAATGATTGTACTGTCAACCCGTTACTTGCAGACGTGGACTTGCAGCTGATTTTGGACGGTCTTGGACGGTTCCGCAATTGGTGATGGAATGGCAGATTGACAAACAAACGGCCAGTTACTGCTGCCGCACAGGCAAGCAAAAACCACCGCTTGGACTTGCTTGCCTCATGTATGACTGCAGTGCTTCCACGCATGGCATGGCTACCCGACATGAGGTGTTACTACCAACCTTTCTAATGCAAACATGACAAACCAATCCCAAAGGCTCACCAGCAAATCTTCCAAGCATAAACTCCATATGTCACGTTATCTGGCGCTGGCACCCCTGAACATCAAGGAATTGAAAACGTGGGTTCTGGCCAATCTACAAAGCTCAGCTGACGCATTGTTGCGATATGGCCCATTTGTCTTTATGTTTGTCCATTGCGCGCCCACGAGTTATCAATCAAAGCATGAATGTCATGTTATTCCATGGGTGCAAGGGATGTCTGGCCCATCAAACAGCATGACGATCACACGCAAGATTTGCAACATCAAATGCGTAAAAAAGGTTCACGAAAATTGGATATCATGGAAAACGTCTTCAAAAAACTATTTTCATGCCTCCTGAACATAAGCAAGCACTCAAAACACATTGTTGTTGTCGTTTTTCCACGTCTCAGCGGCTTTTTATGTTTATGACGAAACCCCACGTTTATTAAGTAATTCTGAAACAAAATTGATTGCCGCTAGCACCTGCGCAACTCACCTCGGAGAAGCTCGCATGTGCTTCTTGTCCGGGGAACGTCCAAACCTTCAAGGCTGTGCTAGAAGCGGGACGGGTCAGAAGATGAGAGGGCTTTCCTCCCGGGGCAAGAACTTTTCGGCGGGCTTATTTCCCGCGAAGAAAGCAGCAAGTTGCCCTAGGGACAAGATACAAGCAGACGTTACGACCGTGATGAGCAATATGCGAGCGCCAAGATGTAGGCAAATGCAGCTACGGAACGCACAAAAAAATCAAACAACAGTGAAGACACATCAAGCCGTTCATTTGCCCAGTCACTATTTTGATCAATCACGCGCGAAACATCCAGGCAGACAGCACGCAAAAGACGAAGCAACAATCACTTGCACAAAGACACACAGTGTCTACCCGGATGTGAAAACTTCGTGCGTTCTGATTGGTTGCGCTTTTCCTGTCCAAACCTAGCACCACCAGCTGCAGGCACGCATAATGTATCATACGTGGATTGCACTGAATGTGGCCTCAGGGGGTTGACGGGTTGAACGTTTCAATGGCTTCAAGGTCTGGCCTGTTCGTTCGCCCTCTGTGTGAAGTCTTCAAGCAACCAGTAATGAGTGAACGCGTAAGAATCGACCAGCACTTGCATTGCGGCCGGCCTCCCACCTCTCAGCATCTCCGGAGGGCTCCGCAAGCGTCACCACCCTCCTTCGCCACAGAGTTCAAGTGAGGATTACCGATCATGCAACCAGGACGCACGTATCCCAACTGAGCCCATGAAGATTGAACAGCATACGTGTTAAGGCGCCTGTTTCATTAGATGAACTGTTAGCCCACTACAATCCTTATGTAGATCGCTTTCTACATAACGAAACTTTTTGACCCGCCCTCCCAGTCCCTGGTAGCCCTGTGCCCAAACAAAGCCTTTGTGCCCATGTGGACGTCGAGTCTGAATAAGCGTCAATGACCTTCACCAGCACCTTGGGCCTTTCAGTCCTTGCCAGCCCGCTGTCTGCAAGACTTCTACGGAACAAAATAGTGGAGCTCTCAGCTGTCGCTTCAGCTTCGCGCAATTCTCAGCCCGCTGGCAGTTAGTGCACAGGCACGCTAGCCTGCAGTGCTTAGCCCTTGCCTGGGCCACAATGCTCTACAGTGTCTTAAAAACCAAAGCCGGTTCATTCATCCTTTTCACAAAGCCCAAACTTCAGTTTGGCCCAAAAGCCCTGTCTGGCTTCAAGTCTTACACTTTTAACCCGCAAGCGAAACGGATGGCCAGAGGAGCTTGAAGCCTTCCTGCCTCCAAGCCCCCTGGAGTACACAGTCAGAGCAACCCAAGAAAAGAAGGAGAGCGCTGCTCGCTGCTTGATGTGATAGGTCTTGGAAAGGAGCGCAACCACACAGAACCCCACGGCTCTTTTGGACATTTCCAGCACTGCTGACTTGACAGCGGTGGTCAACTTGAAAACAACGCCAGCCGACGTGGGTTCAAGGGTCTCCGCAGCCCTACTGACCTTCGTCACGCAAGTGGCCCTGTGGATGTGGCGCTGGCCCCTCGTGATTGGTGGCCAGCACCGTTGCCACTGCACTGCTGCCTTACACAGAGACCTCAGGGAGGGCCACTCTCCTGTCCAAGACCTACCACAACAAGCAGCCAGCAGCACTCTCCTTCTTTTCTTGGGTTGCTCTGACTGTGTACTCCAGGGGGCTTGGAGGCAGGAAGGCTTCAAGCTCCTCTGGCCATCCATTTCAACCCAACTTTAATGACTCAGAGCAACCCTGTCTCTGCGGGAGGCTGCGGGCGTTCCAGGGAATTAAAGCTGAGGCTCCGGCTTCGTGCGTCTGAGCCGGAGAGTAGAGACCTAAGCAAAATATGTGGGACCTGCAGGGCAAGGCAGGTGACCGCTTTTTGCAGGCTGAGCCGGAGCCGTGTGAGCAGTTTACAGAGTGGCAGCTGTAGGCGTGCAGGTTTGTACGGCAGTACGCAGCGTAGGCAAAGGCTTTTTTCTTGCAAGCTGCCTCGAACTTCTTGGCTCAGGTGGACGCTTCTGCAAATTTTCCCTCACCTTGCATGTGAGGGATGCAGAATCACGCCTTCAGGCTGGCAGAGTTGAGCTAGGGCGAAGCAAAAGCGGGCTCAGGGCCTGGACTTGAAGTGGCCCAGCTTGCCCCTGCTTAGCTCATCTGCCCACAATTCTTGTGTCCTGACCAGGAGGCCACGAGATGCAAGAAAGGGCAAAGTGGGAAGGCTGTGGAGAACAGCTTGTTGACCCCGGCTTCAGGCGTGTTGTCAGAGCTGCTGGGCATGGCGAAAGACATGTACTTGTGTCCCAGTCTGCTGAGCCATCTCAAGCAGGGCTAGTTGGGCTAGAATCTCGAAGCAGGCTAAGCATCTCTGGGCGTCCTTGTGAAGCTGCGGCCACAAGGCCTTGATGTCCTCCAATGACCAAATCTCAGAGAAGCAATGGAGGCCATCCTTTGCGCAGAGCCAGCCTCCTACGCTGACGGTGTCACCCTCTGCCACGGCGTCTGCTGCAGAGAGGCAGTGAAGCAAAGCGGGGCTGCAACTGGCTTTGTCGGGGTGGCTTGCACGCAGCTGAGGAGCCACGACAACGACTCCTTGCTGCTCTCAGTGAAGGCTATGTCACTGGGTGTGGGATCTGCTACGCGTACCCAAGTAAGCCTCTCCGAGTTTGGCAACAAAGGTACGTCAGATTTGCTGCTGACGTGCCCGCTGCCAACTTCGATGACTTTGGAGGAGACTGGAACGTGGCGGCCTGAATCAGGCTTGACTACAACTGCTTTGGCATCAAGGCTATAAAGGATCTGCCAGACGTGTGAGTGTATGCTGCACAGAATGCCTGGCGCGCTGCCCAAGTCTGAGCACAGGGGAGCTGCATACGAGCGCAGCTGGTGGCTGATGGCTGTGGCCCAGTTCACGAGTCGCAGGCAGGATTGTAAGGCTTTCTTGTTAACCTTCTTCTGGACAAGCACTTCTTGAAGCGCTAGCTTGGCTAGCTTGTCCGGCTCGAGCCTGACCGTCTCGGAGCGGAAATTGAATTTCCAGCCGCACCAAGTGATGGTGTCTCCAAAGGCACAAGGAGCACTACCAAGAGGGCTAGCTGCAAGTCCCCAAAGCTTCCAAGAAGGTTTGCAAGGAGGTCCTCGACGCACAGCAAGGCTTTGTGAGGGCCAAGGCGAGCAGACTGTGGGCTACGCGAAGCAAAAGCGCAAAAAGCCCAGGCGTTGCCACCAGTAGGCTGAGAAGCGGGTTCCGAAATAATGACAGACTGAAAATCCGTCCAGCTTGCCTGCAAACTCAAAAAGAAGCAGGCCTTGGTCTTCTTTGCGAGTTTGCGGACTGCCTTGAAGTCAAGGCTAGGCTGAAATAAGGCTGAGCAGACGTCTGACACTGTGGAGCAAGTCCGGGCTCCTCGCCTGTGACCTCGACTACATTCAGCTTCCCAACGTTTTGGGCCACTTCGCCAGGGCTGCTTTTCGGCTTCCCAGTATGCACTGCACCCAAAAAGCCTCTACTTCTTTGTGGATGAGGCATTTGACAATCTCGCTCAACAAGGACGCAACAAGGCCTCAACCAGACCTCGGCAATAAAGCCCAAAGCCCCGGCAGGCCTCAACAATGCTTGAAATCCTGCCTGTTACTGGGGAATTATAATTGAGGCCGGCAGCAACATGGCCTCAACATGGCATCAGTATGGCCTCAACATGGCCTCAACATGGCCGCAACAAGGACTCAACAAGGCCTCAACAAGGCTTCAACAGGGCCTACGAGGCTTGAACAAACCCCCACTTCCGCGTTGGCGTAAGCAATACCAGTCATTGACAACACATGGGTTCAAAAAGCATACGCCGAGAAACCAATTTCGGGCCCCAAAACATGCCAAAAACAAGGACCATTGATTTGGGCCTCCCCAGGTGCCAAACCTTACTTGCGAGATCGCTTGGCCGTTCGCAATACGTTTGGAAGGCTGCCCCGTCACATTTTGCCCTTGCGTCACACATGCTTTGCAAGCAAGCGGCAAAAGCGCCCCCACCTTGCGGCGTACATAATTTCCAGTCATCTGACACGGGTATTCTGCGCAGCAAGCCCTGCGCCCAATGAAAAACATGGACTCCACTCGACTCCACGCCGTCAAAATTGCAAATTTCGTAGACCCGAATTTGGTCGCCAAATCTGGACCCACACGTGGCTACACGCGGCCCCAAAACTGGTTCCGCGAAATGGATTTCCCGGGCCCTGTGCTTATTTGACAGCCCCAAAAACAAGGTCACCAAGAGGACCCATTTTTGGGTCCGCATGTTTGGGCAGGGGTCCGGGAAACGGGCACATTTTTTAAGCCTTGCACGGACCCTAGAATTCACGTCGACGCGCTCTTCTCAGCCAACAGTTTCAGCGTCTCCACATGAAGCACAAGGCTTAAGAACCCACGTAGCCCTCAGACGGAAGCCATGTGCTTTATAACACGCGCTTCAT